TACTGAGGCCTGCCTATGGCTGGGCAGCAATGGCAGTCTCCCGCCCTGCTGAGGGCAGGGAAGCCCAGAAACGACAAAAGGATCTGCTCTGCCAGCGCATCTCCTCACTCACAACTTCTACCTTTTGTGGCTTTGCCTTGCAGGGAAATCTCTTTTCTCACCAAGATGTCTTGCTACGACCTGTGCCCACCCAAAACCAGCGTCGCCGTGCCCCAGCCCATCGCTGAGAGCTGCAACGAGCTGTGCGCGCGCCAGTGCCCCGACTCTTCGGCCTTCATCCAGCCACCGCCCGTCGTCGTCACCTTCCCCGGCCCCATCCTCAGCTCCTTCCCCCAGCAAGCCATGGTGGGCTCCTCCGGAGCACCCGCCTTTGGGGGCTCCCTGGGGCTGGGGGGCCTCTACGGCGCCGGGGCCACTCAGGGCTCGGGCGGCCTCTGCACCTTTGGCAGACCCTACGCTTCCCCTGCCTGCAGCCCCTGCGCCTTGCCCCGCTACAGCAGGAAGCTGTGGGACACCTGTGGGCCCTGCTAAACCCAGGTGCAAAACTCCTCTCCTCTTCCTTCCTCAATCTCTGTCCTGATTTGCCATGCTCACTTTGTCTTCTATGGCCCTGAACTGGGCCCTGTGCTGGCCACTGCCTTGAAGATGCCTCAAGAAACACTCCTCCTGAAGACCCAGGCACCGACTTCCTGCCTTGGACTGCAGTACCTCTTTGACGTTATGTTCTTTCCAGTCTTTACAATAAAATTAATATGCATCCAATGTTAGAATCTTGGGCTTTTCTTCCTGCCTACAGTATCTGCCCCACGTCTCCTTTCTCCCACACCTGCTCCCTACGTTTGGCCCAGAACAGGCTCTCAGCCCCGTGCCATGCCAGGCTGTGTTTCCATGGGACAAAGCCCCTGGCCATGACACCTCTGGCTCACGCTGTGTGCTGCCTATCTGCACGAGCCCTGACTGAATGTAGTCTCCATGCTGCCCTTTAGGAAATGAAGCCACAGGGCATCTGCAAACTGCCATCGTCCCTCCTGCGGATCCTCCCCAGCTCCCATAGCCTCAGCAGTATCCCCTCCGTGCCCAATCTGAAGACGCAGATGAAGTTGTGAGGAAACTTCTAGGAAATCATCCACTTCAATTGTGTGTTCAAGCTGTGCTGCCAATGGCCACTACAGACAGTCTTTGGGTACCATAAAAGCAAAGGGAATCCATTCTGACGATGAGGGCTCCAACCCCTGACAGCACACTTTGAAACTTTCTTCCTGGACACTGACCACCCTATTTCCCTGAAGAGCATCTGTGCTTGTCCATCCTCTCATCGCACAGATTATTCCTAACTGTATAGTTAGATAAAATTGCCTTTGTGAAGACTTCAGCCTTTCCCTCACACCCCATTGCTTGCCATAGCTAAACCCTGAACCAAATTTCTAACAAAAGATAGAGGATACAGTCAAAAAGGCTTCTGGTAAGTAGCAGATATTTCTTATTATCTCCCTTTCTATCTTTACTTTAACCTTCTGTCACCTAGATCGCCAGCTGTTAAGGCCATATTCTTCCTAAAA